ATGAGTAGTAGATACTGAACATGTTGCTCATCATAGCATGAGTCACTAATTTAGCTCATAGCCATGCACCTTCAGAATATAAGCATTTTTAAACTCTTATTATATTATATGCCATTAGATAGAGGTCAAAGTCCAAAGCTTCCCAAACTGACAAAGAATGAACGGGCCTTTATGGTCATCTTCCTGCTGAAGGCCACATCAAAGTGACTAAATTATCTAAGATAGCTGCTTCCTAGTCAACATTAAATATCTAAACATTAAGGGCTAAGTTAGTCATGGTAGTTTTCCTCTAGATTATTTGAGAAACATAAGCACCTCCAGAAGACAATTCATCAGATTCATCTTAGAACAAAATCAATTGTCCTCTGGAACTGAACAATTCTATCTAAAAGTAAAAAGATAAGTCTAGAGCTTGGGCTAGTTATGTCACTCTAGAGAGTCCTAACCCAAGCAAAGTCCAATAAATTCTACCCCACATAATTTAACCACAATTTAGTACTAAACTACACCTCATTCCACAGGCAGTTCTACCAAATAAAACTAAAAGACTGAGGGCAAGGTACCATTTAATTACTGTGCAATGGCTCAACACTGCACCAGGGAGGGTTTAGTCTGAGCACTTGGAAGCTTTTCTTGACCAAGAAAATGGTCAAACGTTGGAACAGGCTTCCTAGAGAGGTGTCCAAGCCTATCTCTGTCTAAGAGACATTTAGACAATGCTGTTATTTACATGTTTTAATTTGATCAGCCCTGAATTGGTCAGGTCACCAGATGTGATGATCATTGTAGGCCCCTTTCAACTGAAATAACCTATTTTTTTTCTGTACTTTTCTCATGAAAAATATCAGTGCATATTTCTCTACATGTTCATAAAATATCAGCCCGGGAACACTCTCCCACTTCCTGGATCAAGTACACTCTTCTTCAGTCATGTTCCACTTCCAGAATCTCAAGATACACCACTTTACCTTGTTCTTTTTCTCTAAATTCTGCAGGAAAGATACACCGGTCTATGAGCTACCCAGGAGCCATGGCATGTTCCAAGCTAGTCCCAGGGTGGATGCCTGGAGAACTGAGACGCCAGGAGGCACTGAGGCACTTTACATAAAGCCTGCCTGTATGGCAAAGATAGCAGGAAATATACTCTTTTTAAAAATACAAATAAAGCCTAGCATCTAGATCTGCCCAGGGAAAAGCCCTATCCAGAGAGAGACCTCTCATGTGGAATATATCCCACAACTAAGAGAAACATTTAATTTGTTCTTTTCAGCTGTTATCTGACTGCAAAACATTAGTTTTCAGTCTTTGTAAAAGGCTTGTTTGATAAAAGTCAGAGAATTTTTAAAATGTCATTAGCAGTTTTATACATAATAACAACATATTTTTCAACTGATAGGAAAATTACTTTTTTTTTAACACAGACCCTTTCCTGTATTTCAAGAAGAGAAAGGAAACACAAAAAAAAAAAAAAAAAAAAAAAAAAAGCTCCAGAAGAAAGAGGCTGTAGAAGAAATTTTTTAAATTTTTGAATTTAAAAAAAAAAAAAGGATTTTTCACTTTTTTTAAACACTTTTCTTATCATTTAAAGAGGGCAATGTGATAAAATTTTTGTATTTATGTGCCAAAAATTGAGACTAACCATGTGGGGAAAAAAATGCAATTGTTTCCTTTCACAACAGTTTCTCAGCCTGGAAGAGAATGCCCAAGCATGCCTGGTAAAATCGTAGCTCCGCTCATAATCCTCACCTTCTAATGTATTCATGAACATCCTCTTTTGTTGTGGTATTATGACTGGGAACACAAGCCCATATTTCTTTATATGAAGTAAAAAAATTTACTGATTTACCTAAGTTGTCAGTGACTTTTTCTCCCTTCCTCTCCTGCAGGCTACATAGACCCAAAATAGTCAGTACTCATTCATACACATTTTTTCCCTATATTCAGTTCTTTTCCATTGTTAATTCTTAATATCAGCCTTTTCCCATTAATATGCAAACAAATTAGGAAAATAATACCTGGTTTTGTATTCTAAAAGTAAATAATTTCCAAATTATATTTCTTAACATTTGAATTCTGAGTACTTTTAATTAATTATTCATGTATGACCTTATTAGATCCATATAACTGAACAAAATACAAAGTAGACCTCATTTTTAAAAATCAATTAGTTTTGTGCCATTTTTTATCTGACCTTTTTTGCATAGTGACTGATACCATAACTATTAGGAAGTCATCATCATAATTTTTTACAATAGCAAGATTAAATATGCAAACAGAGGTGGACAAGCAAAGTACCTCCTTTCTCCACTGTTTTTATTTCTAACATAGAGGTTAACTATTAACAGCTCAACATGTGGAAATGTACGTGCTACTTTTCAATTTGGTATCCTGCAGAAATAGTACTCCAGCAGGTAATTGGGTTAGGATTTTGGCACATGAAGAAGGCAAACTTACAGAAAATGTTTGGAGGTAAAGAGAAACTTTTTTTTTGGCCTTTCAGGAAAGCCTTGAGAAGGTTTTTCTGTAATTTACTTAAATCACCCAAGCGGTTTCATTCCCTTTGCTTCTTTATGCTTTTACATTATACATATACATACGGGTTATTTCATTTGACAGTCAGAAACTTAGTATTCATAACTTCTTAATTCTGTCTCTGTGCAGTTATTTTTTATTTTTCTCAAAAGAAAAGAGGGAGGAATTTTGGAAAAAAAAAAAAAAGAACAATTTAGAATTTTTTCCTTTTATTTATATAGACCTTGGGGAACAGAAAGAGGAGCTACAAAAATATGGTATTGACTATATATTAGGGAAAATTACTTGCCCTTTGACAATAAGCTACTCTGTTAACACAAAGAACCATACATATTTCTAGTAGCAATATATATTTTACTGGCCACCAGAATGATGTCTCTTAAAATCACAGGTTGTTGATTCTGAAAGAGAGACCTTCATTCTCCTGTCACTGACCTGGTTTCAATGACTTAGGTCAACTTGTAGTCAGAAATTTGAATTTAAGTTTGCTATTGTCTCAAAATAGCCTTGCAGCTCTGTGGGAAATGAAAGGGAAAGGAGGAAATCATACAGCACTGGACAAACTGGCAGGCAGAACAAATAGTGGGGATTTAAGGTGACTAGTATTTTCCTTTCAGTGGTGTTAGGTCTGTAAGCAGGTTATGGTAGCCATTGTACTGAGTGTTTATGAGAGAAAATATAGAAAAGGACTGGCTTTTCCCAAGCATCATTATGGAAGAGGTATGAAATGAATCCTGAGGATTGCCCCCACCATGGAGAACAAGAAAATTCCAGCTGCTGCAAAGAGACAAACCTAAAAGTCTAACAACACAAAGGCATAACCTCCTGAGGACAGGAGCCTTGGGCTTCTTTAGATCCCTAGCACTGGAAAAAATCACTTCAACCAATGCACAAAAACCTATATTCTGACAAATTTTGAAGAAGAAACCTCATCAAAGCAATCATAATTATTTTTCCCCCTTGTGTGACCTCTTTTTTTCCTACAGAAATATAATCCAGGTCCACATTTTTACTTACCATTTGTTAAACCCTCTCAATACGTATAAAATGGCAAGTATTCTGTAACACTAGTAGTGTCATGTAGTAGTAACCAGGAAAAATTTCAAAACACACACAATTTTATTTCTATTTCTCTTTCTACTTCTACTTCTATGTCTATTATTTGTATTTCTATTTCTATTTCTATTATTATGATACATATATCTGGTTCCTTATTATATTCTATATGCACATACTTTTACATGCATATAATCAGATTTGCATTGGCATGTACAGAGTTAAGTGAGGGCAGCATTCCAGCAAGGTCATCTTCAGAACACATCCAGAAGTGGATTCAGGAAGGGAACTGTTAAGCAAACATTTAGGAAGCATCCTTCCTTCAAAGAATGTCAAAATGTTTTGGAGCCTTATAAATACAGAAACTGAGACATATAGATCTCTCTGTGGACCAGAAGAAATATAATTCAGTCAGTGCATGCTGTGTTTCACCACAACCAAAGTGTATCAGAAATTTAGTGCCTATGTAAGGAGTATTTCAATAAAATTACATAGCTACTCAAACACCTGTTTAGAGTAAACACCAATTTAGCATATTATGGCCTGACATTACTAACTATTAAATACATAAAAGTAAAACCAGTCACGAGTACATGTGCTGGGGTGCAGGGGGGAAGGTGTTTATACTTAAACACAAGCATATCTGTCTTCAGAGTACATTTTCTTTTTTTGTATGTTGATGAAGAATTGTGTTGACCCTGACAAGATACAATGCCGTAATTTTTGGAAGTTTGTGTGTTTAATGCTTATCTGAAGAATTTATTTTTCTTCTGTTTCTGTTAGCCATTAAAATGCAAAGTTGACAGCGTCTTTATTTTGTTGGCAGGCATTGTATATGACCTTTAAATATATTTCTGTTAACACAAATTTGAACCAATAATATGAAAGGTGTCAACTGGAGGAAAGGAATTTCCTGAAACTGTCAAAATTTTTTAGTAAATCACAGTTATACAAGATAGAAAGGACCAGGTCATATGTAATGACACATTAACTGCTTAACATGCTCAGCAGTTTCTATGTAGAAACGTGGTAATTCCATGTAACTGAAAAAGATGCTGGTTTGCTATCCTTTGAATGAAGAGGTTAGCAAAGTGTACAGAAATAGTGCAACTGATTTCAGAGAGAAATACATATTAGACTATAATGCATTTGATCATTACTGCTAGTTGAAGGGATCAACTCTACTATACCCAGTGCTTACCTGAGAAGGGCTGGCACTCAGCTTACTATGTTCAAACAATTGAAAAGTATGCTGAGAAAAGTGTGAGGGACCAGGAAGTCCAATCCCAGTATAACTCTCTTCCCATGCTTCTTTAGTCTTCTCAGCTTAGATCTTCTTTGTGCACGAAATTTCCTGTGCACCTCTCTTTTTTTTACTTGTTGGTAACATGTCAGGTTGGTATCATACCTACCCTAGTTGTTTTCACTTTATTCCCAGAGGAACAGCTCCACCCCTTACGATCTGGAAGAACTTTACATTCCTCCCCTTCAAGACATGGTTGCATGTGGCACCACCATTTCTGCTCCACTATTGAAGCTACAAGAGAAGAAAATAAATGTATTTCTATTTTGTTGAAATGGACACTTTAAGATGTCATTACACTGCAACATTTCTTTTATTTTCCAGGAAAATATGAGAAGCATGCTGACTGACAGCTAGTCTGTGATTTTCAGCCACCTCAGAACCTTCAGAAGAAATTAGGTTTCCAATTTGCAAAAGGTGCTATGTGCTTCAAAGTCAATCTCTTCATAGCATTTCATCTCAACTTCATTTTTATCTTGCTTAGCCAGATTTCAAAGTTTTACGTAGAATCTCTTCTTTTGCTTGGTCTACAATATAGCCTAGCATAGCTTGATTAAATTTATTCCCCAATGATGACATATTTACAGCTTCTCTGACAGCCAACAACATATCAACATTAAAGAGATCATGTAAAGGGTGAATCCTGCCACTCTTTCAGAGAAAAAGATGTGAAAAATCAGCTAGTATTTTCCCAAATAAAACATATGAGTCTATACCAGAATTGCTAAGACACTAATATTGCACTGTGAATAGGGATAATAGTGTAGGTCTAAAAAGATTAAAAACCAGACCAAACTTTGTTCTGTTTGTTTGCTTGCTTCATGTGAGACTGTAGCACATGAAAATTTTATGCTTATGTAGGTTTTGCATAAATGTTTTTAAGTAAGTTAATTTCATACAACTCCAAGAGTCCTCTTTTTAGTTAGATCAAATTTAGCCTCTCAAGATGCCTCTTTCGCTGGCATCTAATAGTTTTGTTTAGCATTTCCACAGAGCAATAACAAACAATTTTTCCATCTTTCTCCCATTCACCTTGGACACCCCCTGCAAAATGCAGAAGCTTTCCTACTCTTATTTTAAATAGTTTACTGTCATGGAGTGGGTCTCATTAATGACCTTAAGCCAGCAAAAACTCCCAGAAACACAAAGAAAGGAAGCAATAGAAGGAGTCGCACCATCAACACAAGAAGGAGCTGCCCGGGTGGTACCTGCTACCTGCCCAGGGAAGCAGGAACACTTCACTGTCTGTGATCTTTCTTCTATCTTATTCTTATTGCAGCATCTGTGAAGCGCCACCACTTCACAGGTCCCAGTTTTAACATGGTGAGCTGTGAAAATAAAAAGATGTACAATTTGATATCTTTGAGAAGTAACACCATATTGTTTCATTTGGAGTTTTTTAAATTGAAATTCGTTAAACTTGGCTCTGTAAGGCAATCTGTCACACATGAAGTAAGAGGTGCAATGGTATTAACACTAGAATGGAGAGTTGATCTCTTTTCCAAATGTAGTATCTCAGGCAGAAAACACTGGCTAAAGAAGAACGGTTGGACAAGGCTGTATATGGGCATCTACTAATGAAGCAGGAAGCAGAAACATAAAACTAACCTAGAAACTACACTAATTTCTGAACTCCCATAAACAGCCGTGCACCTCTATCAATATTTTTTTTTCTTTTTCCCTATGGCAGAAACTTTGAAATGAAAGTATATTAATGCTAAAATATCCATACATGCATATGTTTTCACAATCCATGTTCCAAACTATGCTCCAAAACCTTCCGACAGGCAGACAGAGAACAACTGGAAGGATACAGGGAAAACACTCAAATGAAATCCAGAAATAATATCTACTTAGGAAACACACTTTAAATTTTTCTGCCTGGCACGGCAAAGGTAGTTTGGTAACAAGGGGACCCAAATCTTTCAAACAAGGGAGACAACAGGACAATCCTCATTACTCCATATCTGTACCTATCACTTCCATTCATGCTGCTCTAACTGATTACCAGAATCATACTGCTAGAGTCCAATGAGAGGAACAATTTGATGAGAGGAGAGCCAGCAAAATACCCTTTCTGGTTCAGCAGCCAGTTACTAAAGAATCTGGAGTTTGGAAAAAGTTTTAACTGAACTTTCAGCACTTGCTTATACAAGGCCAGATATTCCTTGGGGGTAGCTCATTACCATCAGAAGAAAGAGAGAAAAAAATCTGAACTTTAGCTGATATTGACCTACAACTTTGTATGGGCAGGAATACTAATTATGAGAAGCAATATGTGTCCCTTAGTTCTGCTATTTAATTTTTTGTGTGCTTTATGCAAAGGCTGTGTACTGAATGCTTCAGCTATCTTTAATATCACAAGGAAAAAGCTCTAGAACAGGAGCCCAACACTGACGTGTGGATTCGCTCCGTTGTTATTTCACAGTGTCACCTCCTAAAAGGTCTGAGGAAGGAACAGAAATTTATGTAGGCTACGGACCCAATGAATTTCCTAGAGGCAAAACCCACAGATAGCAATTAGACTCTGGGTCTTCATCAACAAAACATAAACTGCTAAACATTTCATTGGGGAATTATGCATTTTTCAGTGTAACAAATTCCAGTGAACAGTCTGTGGTCTTTGTCATCACTCAATGTATTGTACTATGTCAGGTTTGATTATACTCGACCACATCATGCTGGGCTGCAGCTGAAATTATATAACACAATGCAAGCAATTAACCCATGATCCATCATATTCTGATATGCTGAAATGTTATATTTAAATCAAAAATCTAGGAGGAAAAAAAATCTCTTTATACACAAACAGTGATTTTCTTCACTTTATAACTGTAATTTTTAATTCAATAGAAGATGAGGAAAGTAATTCATACTATCTGCCTGAACTTTGCAATGTCTGTTATTTTATACCTTTAATGACATTTAGTAAATATTTTTACAGCTACTAGCACAGGCTGCCCCAAAAACTACTTTTAATTCTTTTCCAAACAATTCCACTGTCAATAAAGCAATGTCAATAAAGCATTTTAAATGCTTTATATGTCAATAAAGCAATTTAAATAAATACATTCAATTTTTTTTCTCAATAAAACACTTGTAAAGGTCTTTATTTGTGAATAGAAAAAAAAATTATCCTGGGATATATTGAGTATAATATATAGTAGAACAAACATATCCTGCTTTTGCAGGTTCACATTAACCTTGATTTTGATAGGAATTACATACCTTATATTCACTCATTCTAACACAAATTCACTAAATTTCATTTTATGAAAGGTACATAAAAAACCCTAGACAAAGAATCTACAAAAGAAAGTAAATTTAGTGGTAGGTTAAGAACTTCAAACCACTTACTTCTTCACTTTATTGGTTTTAATTTGTATTCTCTGTATCACTGATCCTGAAATTTTGTGTCCTCACTCTCTTATCATATAACTTTATACTGCTTTACTGTGTCTACACAAACGCCGTAACACAACCACTAAGGGAAAACTAAGCACAATGTACAAAAGTAGCCATCAGGAATGGAAGCTGGTTAAAAGAGCTGTTGTAAAATTCTGTGAGGGAAATTTTCACGCTGAAACAAAAATTTTGAATGCCTCATTTGTAGTAATTAGGAGGAGAAAATCCGGCATTGTAAGACTTATGGAAAAAAAGTGCAATGAAACAAAACAGTCATATTCACATACAATACAGAAAAGCATTTCAAAGGATGAAAATATATATGAAAAAAGGAAGAGAACAAAAAATAACCACATACTAGCAATAGTATTTTGGAACATTTAATAAAGATGCTTTGAAATTTTCTGAGTATAAAGCAAAAACACCTTAGAAAAATATACAAAAATATTTCAAACATTGAGAAATCTAGGCTAACCATCGTCTAGTTTCTATTTGCTATCTAGAAAATGAGATGAAAATTCCTTGAGAGGAAAAGTAGGGATTTCAGGTCTTTATGCTATCAAATAATTAAGTCCCAGTGCAGCAAGTACAGGATCTGTCACATTTATGTGAAATTAAAGCTTCTATACAGTAGATAAAGAATTCCACACAACCTAAAACAAATTAACCTCATTAAGCCACTGGATCATTCCACAAAAGGGGGATAATACTTTGGGAGATTCACATTTTGGTTTTGTTTCTTTTCATCCTAGCACAGATTTCAAAGTAGGCTGCTTGCTTTGCAGAAATTGCTTGAAGAACTGAATGTCATTTCTGTAATCCCACAGAAATTAGTTATTCAAAACCACTGCAAACAGTATTTCATTTGCTGCTAATGCAAGCAGTCCTTCCTACTATCAGTGTGGAGAGGAACTGAAGAAAGGTTGCAGTTTTCCTGATGATTGTACATAACATAATATACATATAAATTATGTTCCAGAAGATCTATCACTGTATCATGAGAGTGGAGCTTGCAAAACAGGAATAACCCTATCTCACCCATTAATGCCGTATTCTGTAATTAACCTGCCGCTTTTCCAGAATTTTTTCATGTAGTGAAATCATCAATCCCTATCTCATAAATCAGAACTAGAAACTTCAGTGATCAGTATCATGTTCCTGGGAAAAAACAAAACTAAACAATTACTAGTCTTCATTTTAGATAAAACTTTTCTTGTTCCTTCATAGTAGCTTTATATTTCTTTCCTTCAGGTGAATAAAATTTCAGTCACATCTGGCTCTAAGTTATTACCTTACTCCTCTGCTTCTGTGGGAAGATTACTCCAGAGAAGAATGGAAGTTACTACTCAAGATTGTTATTTTGTAATTCCATTCAAAAATATGAATATAAGGTATTTAGTGTAGGAATGCAAACCTTGCATTAAGTCAAGAAAATCTTCTGAATAGCATCATTCATCATGGTCACCTTTCCTAGCCTCAACACTTAAAGACAAACTAAAAACACTCAACACATAAACTAAAAATTGATGTTCAATTCTGTCACCCATTGGCTCAGTCATTTGAATCTTTTCTTTCCTGAAAGTAGCACAGATCACGCTTCAACACATACACTGGGCATTAACAAAGAGGAAGAAATCATGTTGCCAAGAACTAAAAAAGTAAAGTCACAGCTTTATTATGTTTCTATCTTCAGGATCCCCATCATTGCAGTAGGCACATATAAATAGCAGGGGAAATCATCAAAAAGGCTCTATTATATGCTCTCTGCAAAGAGACAACAGCACAGCTGGGTGATATAGTTGAATCCATCTAATGACTAAGAACTACTGGAAGCTAAAGAAGATCCCTTGTCTCTTTTCCAGCATTCTTTCATCCCCTGCTTGCATGAACACTGTCATTTGATAGTAAAGATGGTAAGCCAGGAATTTGAACAGGAAGAAAAAAATCCCTTCTTTTAGGGTTAGTTCTCTACCAGTTTATCTCCTGCAACTACGTGCAGTGACCAGTGAGAAGCATTTTCAGCCAAAGGGAAGAGGAAGAAGATGGCAACCACAGATACCTGATTAGCTCCTGCAGAAACCAGTTCCTATATCAGCTTGCAAGAGCTGCAGCTCTGTAATCTTACATGAAATAAATGTATTTTATTTTATTCTATTTCAGGTAATTTTTCTCAGGTCACAGAGACTATTTAAAATCTGCAAATCTTTGTTTGTTTGAGTCTATACTATAGGTGAGAAAAGAAGCATCAACAATAAATAGAAAAATGGAAATTACACATAGCCATGAGTCTCAATCCACATTGCATCTAATATTGTATACACTTTAGACTTTTTGTCATCTTGGGTATTATCAGGAAGATTTCCCATATGAAGTACTATAGTAACCCAGTCTTTCAAAGTAGGTACATATACTTTCTAAGTAGGTACATGTGCACTTTTTATTTATGTAAACCATATCCACATTAATGATTGTGATGGAATGACTCTTTTAAATTATCATTCAGGATATTCAGGATATTGCCAACTTACTTCATCCATTTTCCCAAGTGATTAGTCACTATTCCATACCACAATATTCAAGCAAATGTGTGATTGGATGTTATTGTTAAAATAAATAAAATTAGTGGTTATAATATACTGTTTTTCCAGAACAGGCTTTAGATCACTGCCCTACCCCTAAATGACCAGGTGAAAAAAGAGGGTTTTCTTGTTCACATAGTTTATTTGGTTTTTTCCTACTGATTGATGAGGAAAACAAATGTAGTTTATTTTTCTGCTACACTTCAGCAATTCCAGTATGTCATATCAGTCCTAATGTGTCACTGTAGAGAGGAAGGATACAAACGAACTTGCAAAATCTCCCTCACACACACAAAACACACTGTCACACAATATTATGGCATTTTTTCAATATTTTAATAAGT